ATTTTGAGCTCCTTTATCAAGAAATATAATATTAATTTGTAAATAAGTTATGATTAATCGAGACTACACTTAACTTGATTTTGTACGATGAATTACGAGATCTCTATGAATATTTTAAGAGGTGTGTTTAATCTAATAAAAGATATTGAGTTAAAAATATTATAGCGAATATAAAAATATTTAAATACAAAGTAAATAATTAGTTAGTTATTCTTCCATATTTTCTATTACTTAATTAACTTTGAAAATTGATATAGATTTTATTTTATTTCAATAATAAAAGTGAATTTTCCTTTTTAAAAAATTAATTAATAAAAAGTATTAAAATTTTTGTAAAATTCTACCTCTTATTATGAAGCCAGAAATTAATTTCTAAATTTAAATTTTAAGCTTCTTCATCAAGAAAAGTAAGATTAATTTGTAAATAAGTTATGATTAATCGAGACTACACTTAACTTGATTTTGTAGGATGAATTACGATATCTCTATTAGTATTTTAAGAGGTGCTTTTAATCTAATAAAAGATATTGAGTTAAAAATATTATAGCGAATATAAAAATATTTAAATACAAAGTAAATAGCTAGTTAGTTATTTAGTTATTCTTCCATATTTTCTATTACTTAATTAACTTTGAAAATTGATATAGATTTTATTTTATTTCAAAAATAAAAGTGAATTTTCCTTTTTTAAAAAATTAATTGAATAAAGAATATTTAAAATTTTTGTAAAATTCTACCTTTTATTATGAAGCCTGAAATTAATTTCTAAATTTAAATTTATTTTGAGCTTCTTCATCAAGAAAAGTATGATTGATTCTATTATTTATAATTATTGGCAAAAAAAGTTATTTTAATATCTCACATTTATATAATTTAAAAAGCGTATATGGATGGATACCTTAGTTAAATCTTCTGAAATAAAATTCATGGATGGCAGGCCATCTGTAGTTTAACTATATTATTTTCTATTAAAAATTACCCACTTTTATTTTCCAGCCTGTTTTGAAAATATCACTTTTAATTTGATTCACTAACTTACTAACTACTAACTTATCAATCAATATTTAATAACTCCTCTTTATTATGTTGTACAATATTAATAAAAACTTTTATTATTTCTTTAATATCATCTAAAAATATTAAAAAAATACAGATAAAAATAGATATTTTTTATGTAATTAATAAGGAAAAAATATAGATAAATATTTATGTACAATTTTATGTTAAACAAAAAAATACATTCAAGCACTCATTTTAAATAAATTAGTCATTTTTAATTTGATTTATTTAGTTACTAGTTTTAATAAACATTTTAATTTACTTACTTTATTTGTTTTCAATACAGCCACACAATATAATAGTCAACTCCTTGCTCAATTTTTGCATTCAATACTTTTTCACATATATTTTTTATTTATGAGGTTATTTTAATGTCTGATTCTGGGTTATTAAGAGATTCATAAACCTAAGCAAGATCATTATTTGTTTATAGAGCCAATTTATTAAAGTATTCTGCTTCTTATAAGTTTCCATTTTAGCCAAAATAGAAAGTAGCTACTTACATTTAACAATATATACATTTTAAAATCATTCTATTTTATCATATTTATTGATTTGTTTATTAGAATACTACATAATTGCTGATTGAAAATTATTTAACTTCTTTAGATGTTTTAAATAAATAATATTATTACCTTTTACATTTTGGGTGTTTTAATTTTTTTTTTTCAAAATAAAGTATTTTTATAATTCGCTTTGATTAACAATCTAGAGATAAATGGTAAAAAATATATTATAGTATTGTATATATTGAACATCTATAGTAAATAAGCAATTAGATCTGTAAATAAATCAGATGATTGACAAAGCTTATCATTATAAACTAAGTAAATGTATTTGAGCAAAGATTTATGGAAGTTAGGGTAATTAATTATGTATTATTAATGAATAAATACTTGGAATGTTAGTAAACATTTAAAAAACAATTCGTTAAATTTAATCAAATTAGAGCAAAGCGAATTTAGTAAATAGAAAATTTAAATCTATTGTGTAAATTGCGGACTATCATATAATATTACTCGATAAATATTTGATACTTTTTTTATTCTGCTTTTATTAAAACAAAAATTCATTAAGTATCAAAAATTTATTTATTATATTGATAGATAAAGATAGATGAATAAAGCTCAATAAATTCTTAGAAATTTGTAAAAATATTAAAATTAAAAATGATTTTTTATGCCAAAATTAATAGCTTAAAATAAATCTTTTAAAATTAAATAACTCATAGCAATTACTATTTCATTTAAAAAAATGAATAAAAATATAGATAGCTAAAAGAATGATTAACGTACACTTATAATTAAATATTTCCTTATTCAAGCTATTTTTTTGGCTGTAAAACCTAATAATTTCTTAGCTGGTTTAAGGCTATTAGATTATTAACTTAATTAAAAAAGTAATATCATATTTTAAAATTTATCATAATTGTCCTGAAAGGAGTTAAATTCTAATTAATTTACGCATTTATTATTTAACTTTCAACACCCATGAATTTACCTGAAATTCAATTTAAATTGAGCCAACATAATCAAAAATCTTATTCTATTTTAGATAATTTAATTTTTTAATAACTCACACTTTTAAACTAAAAAAAAAGTTAATCCATTAACTTATTAATTTATTTACTATTCTTATTAATAATATTAGCAAATATAATTCATAAAATTAGAAGATTATATTTTATTGTAATTTAAAAAGTAAGTGGCTCATTAAGATCTTCAAAATATAATAAATAATAAAAAATAAAATACTATTTACTAAAAACAAAAAAAAATATATTTACTAATTAAAAAAATGAGTTTCTATCCTCCTGGAACTGTAATCCATGAAGAAAATAACATTAGATACTAAATCTACTCAGATGAGTATTTTGAATCTGCTTACGAGACTGTAGTTGAATCTAGATTAATTGAAGGATCAATCTACTCTGACTTTTAAGTGAGAAGATCTGCTATTGAAGAAGGATCTAAAGACTTCATAAATAACTCTGTAATTAGAATCATAGCTATTGACACCTCTCTAGATAGCACAAAAGTTGTTGGCTCTATTTTTGCTGAAGACTTTACTGTCTTTGTAGAATCCTAATCCTCTCCATCAACTTCAGAAAATCTATAAATACTAAAAAAGATTAACAAAAAATTAATACAACCCCTTACCAGTATTCCTTACAAAAAAGGAGACATAGTTATTGGTTCTGGTTACGGTGTCAGAAAGGAATATCAAGACAAAAGCATTGGTAAAAATCTTGCTCAATTATTTTTAAGTGTCTGTCTTGATTCTCCTTATAAAGTCTTCTGTGGATTATTTTACTCTCAAAAAGCCTCCACAATCATGGTTAAGGTAGGTGGATTTTTGATGTGCTAACTTTAACCTGAAAATTGCAAGGAAATTGATTCCAATGTGACTGATTATATGAAAAATAATGTCGAAATAGTAGCTTATATTGATGGAAACAAAGAAATATCTGCTTTACAAAAATTAAAGCAATTGCTCAAACAAGATAAACCAGTTCAAATTGTTTGAATACCAATTAAATTATATAAATAAATAAATAAATAAATACTAAGTAAATTAATAATTAATATATACTTTATAATAAATCATTTATATTTATTACATTTAGTATTTTAATGCTAGCTATTAAATCTACTTTCAAAACCTAAATTAAAATTAATTATAAATATTATTAATTAATTAAATTCTATAAAAAAAATTATTTATTTATTTTTACTTAAATTATATTCAATCACATCAGCCACTCAAAAAATAGTGATCTCGAATCACTAAATTTTTAAATGGCATTAGGCTATACTATTATATAAATTTATTTAATAGTTTTTTAATTTGTATTAGAAAGTTAAATAATTATAGATGTAATCTATTACTTTTTATCTCTTTATTACAAAAAAAATTTGGCAATTAAGACCATGGTAAGAATATATTGAAATCCTTAATAATGAAAAAACATTTTAAATAAAAAATTGCTTTTTAAAAATTTAAAATAAATTGATTAATAAAATATTTATAAAAACAATAAATTCGTTTAGAAAGTAACGGTATAAAAAAATTAAATATTTTGTTTAAATGAAGAATTTTTTGAATTTAATTGAAATCCAATATAAAATTAAATCTTTTTAACTAGAATATTGCTTCCTATTTTAAAAGATTCATTAAAAATTCTAATAGATATATATAATCTTTATTTATTTACTTATTTATTTTATTCTTTCTATGATAAAATTTCAATCTTCTAATTTTTATTTAATAAATTAAAGCAATCTCAAAAATTTAAGAGTTTAAATTTTGTAATAAATATATCTAAGCATATTCATATAAAATGGACTAATTAGCTCCAAACAGTATTCCTATTCAATAAAATTGTATCTTTCATCCTCAAAATAAACTTGCTTTTATCTAAGTTAATGAAATTTCATCCCTTCCTAACTCTAACATATTCTAATGTGTTGATTGCTTTGAATAAGATTTACAATTTAGAGGTGCCAATTACATGCTCATCTAAAAAATTATTGAAAATTCAGATTCTGATTTTCATTATAAATGGCCACCTCTCAATGATTAGCAGATCGTTCAGAATATTCATTTGAAAGCTATGAATCTCAATTCTACATAAAGCATCCTCAATTAAATCAATTCATACTTCACTTTGCTAAAAGATGAAATCATTAAAAAAATCGATGTTGCTTAGAAAAAAGCAATCAATTAAGCTCTCGAAATGCCTTTTGGTAAAGAGTAAATTTTGAAAAGGTATCAAGAAATTTCTTAAATTCAAAACTTAAAATCACTGCTCCTTTAAGATTAGAATAAGTCTTTTGCGCTCTACCAAAAGTAATGTAAAGAATTCATTTAGTAAATAGAGTTAAATAAAGGTAAAAATACACAGCTGCTCTAAGATTTGCTCAATTAATGCGATAATATCAACAA